GTGGGTCTCGCCGCGCCAAGGGTCGGCGCTACCGGACCAACTCGGCAGCACTCCAGCTGCTCTGCTGCAGGCGTCCCAGATTCAGCCGCTGCTGAAACTGACCAGCAGCGGCTGAATCGGGGACTCCTGGGGCAGAGCCGGACTATCAGAAGGGAGGGCTATGAGGAAGTCTGGGGCAGCATCCCCCACTCCACCCCAGACCCCTCATAGCCCCCCATTCTGATAGTCCGGCATATCTGATAATCCGGCACCCCCTGGGTCCTAAAGGTGCCGGATTATCGGAAGTTTACTGTATTTGTTTTGCTGAACTATCTTTTGACTCTGCAGTCAATGGTACATGGAATCTCTGCAACTAAAGCTTCAGGGCTCAGAATTCCAGACATATAAAACCTTAACCCAGTAATTCCTGTCCATGCAGAAAGCCATTGATAGTTATGCTCAAGAACAATTTTTTACAAGGCTGACCTTCTTTGTAAATATACTGAATGTAGACTCTCTCATTACATTTGAAAGATGTTTTAATCTAAAAACCAAAAAGATGTTAATTAATGGGAGATCCAGAGCTAATCAAATTAATTCTGGGATGCATTAATAGGAGTGCTGTGAGCAATTCTTTTGCTCTACTCTGTACTGATTTGGCATCAGTTAGAGTATTGTGTCCTGTTCTGGGCACCACATTTAAAGAAAGATGTGGAGAAATTGGAGAAGGTCCAGAGAAGAGCAACAAAAATTATTAAAGAGCTAGAAAACATGACTTCTGAGGGAAGACTGAAAGAACTGGGCTTGTTTAGTTTAGAAAAGAGAAGACTGACGGGGAATATAATAGGAGTTTTCAAGTATCTAAAAGAGTGTTAAAAGGAAGAAGAAGAAAACATATTCTTAATCTCTGAGGATAGGAGAAGAAGCAATGGTCTTAAATTCCTGTCAGGATGATTAAACACTGGAATAAATTGCCTAGGGAGGTTGTGGAATCTCCATCACTGGAGATATTTAAGAACAGGTTGGATAGACACCTGTCAGGGATGATCTAGACAGTGCTTGGTCCTACTGTGAGGGCAGGGGACTGGACTCAGTGACCTCCCATCCAGTTCTAGGATTGTATGATTGACAGAGCTGTGTGTTACTGGCATAGCTAAAGCAGGACCACAGTGAAGTACTGGTGATTTACAAGAAATTATAGCAGCAATGCACATACTATGATTGTCAGCATTTCCTGTAAATTCATCTTTTTAGGAGTTCATTGTATCTTAAGCTTAGGCTCTACAGAGTGAAACACTGCACAGAAAGTATCAGAGGGGTAGCCGTGTTAGTCTGAATCTGCAAAAGCGACGAGGAGTCCTGTGGCACCTTATAGACTAACTGAAGTGTAGGAGCATAAGCTTTCGTGGGCAAAGACCCACTTCGTCAGATGCATGCATCTGACGAAGTGGGTCTTTGAAATGAATATGAATTTTCTGTGCAGTAGCGACGAGGAGTCCTGTGGCACCTTATAGACTAACTGAAGTGTAGGAGCATAAGCTTTCGTGGGCAAAGACCCACTTCGTCAGATGCATGCAGATTATGTATTTTTTAAAGAATTCTGTAAAAAATCCATCAGTAGTGCATGTAGACTTGGTAAACATGTCCAAAAGCTGAACACCACAAACAATGGACAAACTATAGACCTCATGCTGAGGAAATCTGTGCAATGCCTCACAAGGAATGAAAAATTTACTTCCAAACCTTGCACAGATTTTCATGGTGTGGAAGCTGCATGATTTTTTTTCTTCTTCTTTGGATCCAAAGATTTTTTTATGTACAATATTCACTAGGACTGAAAGCAATGGCTCCAAAGGGATCAGACAAATGACAGTGTGCTTGAGACAATTTTTAAACCTTCACATTTCCACAGATGTTTTTCTTGCTTTGATTTAATAAAACAACAATAAAATGACATTAAGAATTTGTGGTTTAACAAAAATGTAATAAAATTTAGAATTAGTGGGAAACTTAAAATATTGGAGAAGATGTAGTTACTTGTTATAAGATCCAAACCAAAGAATAATCTTTTATAAATGCAAAATGTGAACAGATAGATATAGGCATACCGGGGTGAGTTTCACATCAACTCACTTTCTCAATTTTTACATAAAAACATAAGAACGGACACAGAGTCAAACCAAAGGTCCATCTAGCCCAGTATCCTGTCTTTTGACAGTGGACAATGCCAGATGTGCCAGAGGGAGTGAACAGAATCAAGTGATCCCTCTCCTATCATACATTTCCAGCCCCTGACAGAGGCTAGGGACACCATTCCTACCCATTCTGGCTAATAAATATTGATTGACCTAACCTCCATGAATTTATCTAGTTCTTTTTTGAACCCTGTTAAAGTCCTGGCCTTCACAACATACTCTGGCAAGGAGTTCCACAGGCTGACTTTATTCTGCATAAAAAAAACCCTTCCTTTTGTTTGTTTTAAACCTGCTATCTGTTACTTTAATTTAGTGACCCCCTAGTTCTTATGTTATGGGAACAAATAAATAACTTTTCCTTATTCACTTTCTTCATACCTGTCATGATTTTAAAGAACTCTATCATATCCCCCTCTTAGTTTCCCTTTTCCCTGGTCTTATTAATCTCTCTTCATATGGCAATGGTTCCAAACTCCTAATCATTTTCGTTGCCCTATTCTGAACCTTTTCCAATTCCAATATATCTTTTTTTACACGAGGCGACCACATCTGTACGCAGTATTCAAGGTGTGGGTGTACCACGGTTTTATATAGCGGCAATAAGATATTCTCTGTCTTATTCTCTATCCCTTTTTAAATGATTCCTAACATTGTTTGCTTTTTTGACTGCTGCTGCACCTTGAGTGGATGTTTTTAGAGAACTATCCAAAATGACTTCAAGATCTCTTAAGTGGTTATAGCTAAATTAGTCCCCATCATCTTGTATGTATAGTTGGGATTATTTTTTCCAGGGTGCATTACTTTGCATTTATCAACGTTAAAATTCATTTGCTATTTTGTTGCCCAATCACCTGGTTTTGTGAGATCCTTTTGAAGCACTTCACAGTCTGTATGGTTCTTAACTATCTTGGCAGCTTAGTATCATCTGCAAATTTTGCCACCACACTGTTTACCCCATTCTCCAGATCATTTATAGATAGGTTAAAAAGGATTGGTCGCAGTATGGACCATTGGGGGACACCATTAGTTACCTCTCTCCATTCTGATAACTGATAATTCATTCCTACCCTTTGTTTCCTGTCTTTTAACCAGTTTTCAGTCCATGAGAGGACTTTGTCTCTTATCCCATGACAAGTAACTTTACATATGAGCCTTTGGTGAAGGATCTTGTCAAAGGCTTTCTGGAAATCTAAGTACACGATATCCACTGGATCCTCCATGTCCACCTGCTTGTTGACCCCCTCAAAGAACTCTAGCAGATTAGTAAGGCATGACTTCCCTTTACAGAAACCATGTTGACTTTTTCCCAACAAATTATATTCATCTATGTGTCTGACTATTTTATTTGTACCCATATTTTCAACTAATTTTCCCTGTACTGATATTAGACTTACCTGTCTGTAACTGCCAAGATCACCTCTAGAGCTCTTTTTAAATATTGGCGTCACATTAGCTATCTTCCAGTCATTAGGTACAGAAGCTGATTTAAAGGATAGGTAACAAATCACAGTTGTTAGTTCCACACTTTCACTTTTGAGTTCTTTCAGAACTCTTGGGTGAATGCCATCTGCTCCCGGTGAATTATTACTGTTAAGTTTATCAATCTGTTCCAAAACTTCCTCTAATGACACCTCAATCTGGGACAATTCCTCAGATTTGTCATCTAAAAAGATCAGCTCAGGTTTGGGAATCTCCCCAACTTTTCAAACAAATACTAAAAAATAGAGCTTCAGAGGAGTAGCTGAGTTAGTCTGTACAGGATAAATTTAAAAAACAACAAATAGTCTGGTAGCACTTTAAAGACTAATAAAACATGTAGATGTCATCATGAGTGTTGTTAGTCTTTAAAGTGTTACCATACTACTAAAAATAGAGACATTAGGAAGATGTGTGTGCACGTGTGTGTATGTCATTGTGCTACACTCCTGTTAGATACAGAAAAAGTTATACCTTGTGCACAATTGTAAATTACTGTAATCTGCAGAAGCTCAGCAGGATGAATCCTTTCTAAATATACAAAAATATGGACTTGGTAAATGTTACCTCAGGATATGATGGAGATAACAAAATTTCTAGCCACCATGAATTACTGCCACTTGGAACAGCTAGTCCTGGAACCACAAGGGGAGACATAATTCTTGATTTAGTCTTAAGTAGAACACAGGTTCTGGTCCAAGAGCCACTCAGTAATAGTGACACAACAGTGACTATAATGTATTTAAATAGCCTTGGATGGGGGATAATATCAAAAACTCCTCCATGGTAACATTTAACTTTGAAAAGGCGAAATACATTAAAATGAAGATGCTTGTTGTTCCTCTCAAGATGTTAAAGTAGGCCAGGGGAGGGCAATAAAAAACGGCAGCCCGTGGGGCTATTTCTTGGTGGGCTTCTTTATTTAACTGTCTGCCATGTCCTGATGTGTTTGAATGGCATTCTTTTTTATTTGACTGTTTCTCATCTGATATTACCCATATTTTATCATCTTCCATCCTCTCCTCCTTATTAGAACATAGAGAATCTCTATTAACAGACTCTTCCCTAAGAGATAGCTCTGTCTGATCCATGTGCTCCTCAACACCTGTCGACTTTCCCCCAGCCCTTAGTTTAAAAACTACTCTACAACCTTTTTAATGTTAAGTGACAGCAATCTGGTTCCATTTGGGCTAAGGTGGAACCCATCATTTCTGAATAGCCTCCCCCTATCCCAACAGTTTCCCCATTTCTTAATAAATCTAATCCCCTCCTCCCTACACCATCGTCTCATCCATGCATTGAGACCCTACAGTTCTGCCTGCCTACCTGGCCCTGCACATGGAACTGAAAGCATTTCAGAGAATGCTGCCACTGAGGTCCTGGATTTCAATCTCCTTCCTAGCAGTCTAAATTTGGCCTCTAGGACCATTATGTTATCCTTCCAGGACCTACATGTACCACAACCACTGTCTCCTTCCCAGCACTCCACATCTAGAGATCTGCAACCTTCACACCAGGCAGGCAAGTCACCATATGGTTCCTCTGGTCATCACAAAACCAGCTTTCTATGTTTCTAATGATTGAATCCCCCATTATTAACACCTGTCTTTTCATAATTTTTGCATATTTAAGCCCCTAAATATTATTTATACCAACAAGAGCAAACAATTAATACAATAAGATTTAAAAAAAAAAAAAAAAACTTACTTGAAGGTCATATTCCCTCCTCCGTGTTTCTTATTATTGTGAAAGGATCCTTGATAAGTTTGTCCCTCCTTGTCAACAAATAACCCATATCCTAAATAACAATAAATAGAAAATCTACAGAAACACACCAACAATCTCTCGAGGAAGGAAATTTCCTTATATGTCCCTGCAATAAAATGTCTTAACTATATTCAAAAACACATATCAACTTCCAAACTGTACAGAAAATATCTACTTCAAGCTCACAGCACACCCAATTGATTTAAGTTTAGCAAAAACAAAACAAAACAAACATAAAAATTAAAAAAAAAATCAAACAGCTTATCTAGATTTTAATTATCCAGTGTTTCCCCAAATTTTGGTGGACTGCAAATCAGGTTGCATATTGTTTTTTCAGTAACACCCATAATGTGCTAGATGCATAACAACTGAAGTCCCAATCCTACAGAGAGATATAAACACACTTAACTTGATGCATTGAGAGTAATCCCATTAAAATAATCAGAACTACTCACAATGTGAAGTGGTCCTGCCCCAAATACTTGAATATTCTATTGACTCGGTCTTGCAAACCGTTACACTAGTGGGTAGCTTTACTTCAGTGGGATTAATTGCAAGTATAAATGAGACTACTCACATGTGCAATTACTCCTCTGTGCAAATAACTGCATGATTAGGACTTTAGTTATCTCACAAAAAGAACACCACAAATTTTGCAGTAAAATCTATCATATTCTAGCTGAATAAAGATAAGAATGGTCTTACTTCAAATCTCCATCAGTTTGCATTATAGTGATTCTCATCATTCCAGATTTTCACTCTAACAAGCACCAATGACAGTGTGAAAACAGTCAGTGCCAAATTCAGTTGTAGTGTAAGTAGGCTCAATTCAACTCAAATTAAGTCAATGGAGTTGTATTTAATCTGGATTGGCTACCAAAATGAAAAAGTCCCTGGCTAATCTGTTTTCTAACTAAGTTTGCTATGCTTGATGCTCCTGGGGTAGAGGAAGGGAGACAGACAGTGAAGGAATTTGACCTCAATTAGTAAAAAAGGCCTATTTCAGCAAGGTACTGGTACTTAACTATGTGCTTAATGTTAAGTGAACATAATGGAATTTAATGGAACCATTCATATACTTAAAGTCAGGCCTATGCCTTGCTGAATCAGGAATTGTCTATTATTCTGTTTGTGTAATGCCTAGCACACCAGGACTCCATTCTTGGTTGACTCGTAGGCACTGCTGTCATAAATATGATGACTAATAATAATAATAATCAGGACTTCAGTTACTTCGGAGTGAATTTTAATAAAAGTTTCCTCTCTGACTTTAACTTACCTGCTCTCATTCCACAGGAGAACTCCCCTTCATATTTCTCACCATCTTTGTACTGCATTACTCCATGTCCATGCAGCTCTCCAGACACAAACTGACCTGAATAAGTGTTTCCTTAAAGCAAATATATGATAAAGTGGAAAAAAGAATTCATAGCCCTGTCAAATGTGATTTAATATTTTTTAAGTCTAAGGTGTGCTAAGAAAGCAAGCATACCACTGACCCTCACTTACAGAGCAGTAGTAGAAGATATCTTAAAAGTCATAAAGTGAATAATTAATAATGGCTTTTTATTATTAGTACAGTCAAGTGAAGAAAAAGCCTGTTCATTAAGTCTTCATCTTAAAACTAATGAATCATAATCCATATTCCTTCAGGTCTTTAAAACTGAGGCATCTTAAAAATTGCAGTAACTTGTTAAAAAGATTCATAATATGTTCTTTTATGGTTAAGAAACCAATAAAAAGTACTTTAATTTCATAGTCAACTTAACAGCTTTTTGATGACATCTAGTCATTCAAATCTGTATGAAACCTGGGAAATCAAGAGCGTGGTACTAAAAATATAGTACTGTACAGAGAATGTGTCTGTGCCTATACTATCTCAGAAGAATTATATTCTTCTGTCAAGTATTTACCCAATATATCCATAAAATAGAAAGATTACATCAGCTTCACCCCATAACTCCTCCCTGGGAGCCACCAGAGATGGCCTATCACAAGGTCTGGGAGTAGACAGAAAGTGACCACCCTCCGGTCAAAAAGGAAGCAGAGGTAAGGACTTACAATACCTTCCCAGAGTTTCTCTTGGGGCAGCACAATTACATGATGCCTCGCATTTAGGTTGAACTTAAATCATTTTTCAAGAACTACTCCTTACCCAAGAGTTTCTCTCTATTCAAGAAAGGAAAAGGGAGAGATCTGTCATCTGGGGTGTAGGTTCAGGGATACATTCATGTGTGAGAACATGCACAAGATCTGTTAGCTAATCATGGAGTGATTAGTCCTTTATTTTATTACAGGACTGGGGCTGAAGGAGTTTGATGCAGGGATCTGACTATGTGGAAATCCTTCTAGGACAAAAATCCTTATTGTCAAAGGTAAGAGACATGCTTCTTACACCATTACTCTCACCCACTACTATATACACATTGCTTGGAGTTAACCAAAAGTCTACATAATCTATTATATATTTGAGAGAGAGTGTGTTTGAGAACTCCTCATAACCTCATAAAATGGCAAGAGCTAGGACCACAACATTTGGTATGCAGCTTCCTCTTATCATAACTTACACCAAGGACAGGGTTTGGTTGTGCCAGGACAATGGGATGTGCTTGGAATGTGATTGTTTCTCATAAAATGGAAAGGGAGGGCACTGCTAGCAAGGAAAGTTATACTGTATAATGACCATAGAGGGACAGCAGGGGCCAGAGATAGGGATCCAAACAGCCCATTGGAGCAGCAGAGGACAGGGGTAGAGAAAGGGACAGATACCTTTCAAAGAGTTTGTTTGTGTGTCTGTCTGTCCCCCAGCCTGGGGACATACACCCCCTTCTCCTGGCTGTACTTGCTACAGCTGTAGCAGCCAAGGACAGGTGCTTTTCATCTAGCCCCAAGCTGCTGTGGTGGGAGAGGGCTGGGGTTGTCCTCTCTCACCAGGGCAACCTGCATACTGAACCCCTTACTCCCAGCCCCACCCCCCAAGGAATGCTTTATATGAAGAAAAACAAAACTAATTTGAGTTAAGGATGCGAGCAATACCTGAAAAATCTTTTAGTCCTCTAAAAAACAACAAACACATAAAAACCTGAAAAGTAGGCTTTACAATGGAAACTTGGAAAAACTCTTGTATGGAGCAATGTAAGCTAACAACTTACAACACAATAAATATAGAGAACGGAGTACATAACTATCCTTGTAAAAATTGTATTGTATTAAAAATATGGTGTGTTTCACGGAAAAGAACTAACCTGTAGATGCCCAGTATCGTAATCCATTTCCCATAATTTCTCCATCTACAAATTCGCCTTCATAATAACTTCCATCCTTAAATAACAGCTTACCATGACCTAGGAAACAATATATTCATTGAAATACTTTCTGAGTAATAAAAAAGAATTATTATAATAATCTCAGAGAAACATCTAATACAGGTTGCACATCCCTGGTCCTGAACAAGGGATTCTGCCAGACGAGAAGTCATTTGCCCAGCTTTACTCCCAGCCCCAGCAGCTGCCCCCAGCCCTGCCTCCACCCCCACATCCATCCCTGGCCGGGCTCCTGGCCGCCGGCCCCCCTGCCACGAGACTCTCAGATGATCCCAGCTCTCTAGTACAGGGGCTCTCTGGCCTAGGGGCTCTGTCCCATGGTCCTGCTGGACTATGGATGTTGCCAGACCAGAGACTCCCACACCAGAGAGGTTCAGCCTGAAACATCAAATATTAGAAGCACAAGGAGGGTGAAATACGATATTTTATTGAAGCGATTTCTCTTGGTGAAAGAGAAAGGCTTGTGAGCTACAAAGAACTCTGAGTATCTTTCATAGACCTGAAGAGGAGCTCTGTGGAAGCTTGAAAGCTTGTCTGGCTCTGCTGCCACTGACCCCCACTGGATTTCTGGCTGCTGACCCCACTCAGGCTTTCCACTCTGGTTGGGCTGCTGGCCCCACTGCTGCAGGCCTAGGTAGGCCACTGATCTTGATCAGGCTGCCTGCGCTGCTTGGGCTGCTGTCTCCAGCTGGGCTCCCAGCCGCTAGACCACTGATCCTGCTCAGGCTGCCCATGCTGCTGGGCCTGCTCTCGCCAGCCCCACTCCAGCTGCACGAGGTGTACCGGTAGTTCGGAATAGGAATCCTAGTCCGAACTACCTAGTTCGAGCCCCGTGTAGCCGTGCTACACGGGGTTCGAACAAGCGGGGATTTAAAAATGGCGGCTCCCCGCTTATGCAAATGAAGCCCGGGAAATTCAAATCCCGGGCTTCATTTGCAAGTGCGGTGTGCCTACATTACCCCGCTAGTTCGAACTAGCGGGGTAGTGTAGACATACTCTATGATTGAAAATTGGTATAGAAGAGTACAACTTACTCAAAGGACAGGGAGAGAAAAAAGGGAGGAGGTATTGCTTTATATGTTAAAAATGTATATGCTTGGACAGAGATTGAGATGGAAATAAGATAAATACTTGTTAAAAGCCTCTGGTTAAGAATAAAAGGGCTAAAAAATACAGCTGGTGTCATGATGGGGTCTACTACAGATTGCCTAGTGGTGGAACCAACAAAAATCATCCAAAAAACAGGACTTGGTGGTGATGGGGGATTTCAACTACCTGCACATGTGCTGCGAAAATAACACAGCAGGCCAGAGATTTTCCAACAAGTTCTTGGAATGTACTGGAGACTATTTTTAATTGCAGAAGGTAGAGAAAGCTACTGGGGAAAGACTTTATTAGATTTGATTTTGACAAATAGGGATAGATATGTTGAGAATTTGAAAATGGAAGGCAGTTTGAGTGAAAGTGATCATAAAATAGAAGAATTCATGACTAAGAAATGGCAGGAGGGAGAACGGCAAATGAAGACAATGGATTTCTAGAAGGCACACTTAAACTCAGGGAACTGATTGGTAAAAGCCCATTAAAAGCAAGTTGAAAGGAGAAAACAATTTAAGAGTAGCTGGCTGTTGCACTCTAATGGAGGACAGATATGCAGGGCACTGGATAAAGTGTTCTGTTCTGTGAATAAACTCCCAAAGTCTGCTGCCCTGTAATTAAGGCAGACAGATACCTGAGGCTAATTAATAGCTGGCCTGAAGGAGCAGGCTAATCAGGCACCTGCTACCAATTAAAGTCTGGAGTGATGCTTTAAAAGGGATTTTCCAAGTAAGGCAGGGGGAAGGAGAAAAGGGATGGACTGAGAGGAGACAATGTGTTTGTGAAGAAGCTGATATAGGAGACATTCAGTCGGGCTACATCAACACCAAGTTTTTTGCACAAAAACAGCTGGTTTTGCGCAAAAACCTGCAGAGCATCCACACCTCAAATGAGCTCTTGCGCAATTAAACGGGCAGTTAAACGGCAGAAGAGAGGGCTTTTTCCGCCATAGGTAAACCTCCTTTTCTGAGGCATAACTGCTTTTAGCGCTACAGCTATTGTACAAGAAGGCAAATGTGGATGCTCCAGAGGGGAAACCCCTATGGGAAAAAGCACAGGTGCTCTGCCATTTACAGAATGTCCATCAATCAGAGCTTTCTTGCACATGGCTTTTGTGATGTGCTTTGAGGTATGGACGTGCTCTTGTGCAAAAAGTTTTTGTGCAAAAGGCTTCTTGCACAAGAAGCATGTAGTGTAGTCATAGCCTCAGGTACCAGAGAAAAGGCACTAGAGAAGTCGTTCTCAAAGTGCAGTCTGCGGATCACTAGTGGTCTGTGGCTTGATTCCGCTCTCCATTCATCTCCCATGAGGTGGGGAGCATGTGCTGTCTCTCCACTGTGTGGGAGTGGAAGGAGGGCTGAGCCCCCCCACTCCTCCTGGCGGAATGGCAGCAAGGCTTTCCCTGCTGCAGTCATTGACTGGTGCTACCTGGGCAGCAGTCTCAATGGGGGATGCAGCAGCCCATGCACTGCTGCCAGGAGCCCTCTAGTGCCGCCACAGCCTGGCCCCCAACCCTGCCTGTGGGGAGCCAGCTGTTAGACAGGAGATCAGCATCCTCCTCCCCGTGCTGTGCCATGCCACCTACCTGCAGGCCCTGCTGTGTCCAGGTACTGCCTGAGGGAGGTGCTGTAACGGTCACTGGAGAAGCCCTGGAAGTGGCAAGGATGCCACCATTTTGCTGCCTGGAGGCCTTTCCCCTGAGGGACCTGCCCATCCTGCCTTCTGCTCAGTGATGCAGGCAGCTACATGCCTGAGGTGGGGAGGGCTGCATGTAGGGCAGCTGTGCAGAGCAGGGCTCCTCCAGAAGCCATGGGGGGGGGGGCTGCCTGTCTTCCCAAGGAGATCTGGGGGTGCTACCAGAAGGAACAGGGTTACTTGGGGACTTTGTCCCCAACCTTCACCCCACACCGAAGAGCTGGTGTAAACCAAGAAATGCTGCTTTATTGTGTTGTGCCCAGTGCACCCCACCCCATGGTTTGCTCTGTACCACCATGAAAAACTCTCAGGATTTCCTGTTCTGACACGGTACCACTTGGGTTGCCATAAACACAAAGCAAGTGCAGAGGACAACAGAGGAGCCCCCCTCGCACCCCAGCGCTGAAATGGGTAGCAATTCTAAACATTTGGTCTTCTGTTTAGAAACAATAGTCTGTGACTATGTCTACACTGGTGGCTTCTTGCGCAATAACAGCTGTTCTTGCGCAAAAACTTGCTGGGTGTCTATACTGCACACACATTCTTGAGCAAGTAAATTTACAGTCTAGTGTCAGAAAACAGGGCTTCTTCCGGAAGAGTTATTCCTCTCCCCACGAGAAATAAGCCCTCTTGTGCAAGAGCTCTTGTGCAAGAGGGCAGTGTAGACAGGCACCATAAATTTCTTGCGCAAGAAACCCCTATGGCTAAAATGGCCATCAGAGCTTTCTTGCGCAAGAGAGCATCCACACTGCCATAGATGCTCTTGCGCAAAAGCACATGCCAGTGTAGACACGCTCTTGTGGAAGACTTTTTGCGCAAGAACTCTTCCGCGAAACAGTTCTTGCTCAAGAAGCTGCCAGTGTAGACGTAGCCTATAGGATTGTGCTACTTCTGGTCACAATATATTACAGGAATAATTCCTGCTACCGATAGCACAGTCTTACAAGGGAGCAGCTCTCTACAAACCAGCAGCCAATGGGAGCAATGGAAGTGCGAAGTCAGATAAGCATCCCCACTCATGTCCAGACCCCAATCCCTCTTCCCCCACCAAGACCCTGCACCCTCCCTTGCGCCTGCCCTCTCCCTCCTAGCCAGATACCCTACCCCAAACCCCTCCTGCACCCTCCTTTGGTCCTGCATCTCCCCCTTGGCCAGGCACATACCCCCACCCTGCTCTCGCATCCACCATTGCTCCTGCACCCCCTGTCCTGGCCACAAACTGCATCTTCCCTTGCTCTTGCTCCTTCCCCCCAGCCAGACACTTTACTCCCAGCCTGCTTCTGCATCACGACTCCCGCACTGATCCTGCACCCCCCATCCCTATCCCACTTGCTGGTAGCCCTGTCCTGCACACTGAACCCCTCATTTTTGTTCTCACCCCAGAGCTTATAGGGGTTCACAAAATCCACTATCTCCAGAATCCCAGAAAAGTAAATCTGGCCTATGGAAAGCCCTGAACCTCAATCTTTCCCTCAGCAATAGGGCTAAAGCACCAGAGGAGTGAGGTGTCTCAGTTAGGGTACATCAGTGAGGCTTGGGGTTTTTTTTTTGGAGGAGTGTGTTTTTTTTGTTTTTGTTTCGTTTTTGTTTCTTGATTCTCACTTGTATGGTCCCCAACTAATTTTTCTGTGGATCTGTGGCCCCTGACCCAAAAACGGTTCCCCACCCCTACCATAAATAAAGAAAACATTGAAATCTTTTATGTTGGACATAAATTACTTTATTTTACTTTATTTAAAATGAAGTCTGAAACTAATGAGAGTTTAAATGCTTAATCTGTTTAATAATTTAAATTAAACCATTCGCCCTAGTTGCAGCACTAGTAAAATGGCTGGGGCATACTGTAATTATGTAGTTAACAGTGAGTTTCCATTAGCAACTGGCAGTCCATGGAAAGATTTGCATTATGCCAGACAATCCAGAGGCGAAAAAGTTTGAGAACCACTGCCCTAGGGGGAGCAGCCCAGGGAAAAGGCTATTGTCTTGGAGCTAGAGTGAAAACCTGAGCAGCTGCCACTGCCTAGGGTCCCTGGGCAGGAACCTAGAATAGTAGGTGGGCCTGGGTTCCCCAACCTCCCTGCACCAACCTCCCCACACCACAGAAATAACTAGTTCTGGGAAAAGGAGGTCCAGGACTACGGAGGGATCTCCCTTTCCCCATTCATTGACTTCGTCAATGATGAAAATAGCTCAATAAGCTGGAACCCCGACCTACAGAAAAACACAAGAGGCAGCATATAGAGTTACAGCAAGCCTCTGAGGCATATAATAACCACGTAAGGAGCGTAGGCCCCATGGGACACAGCCAGAACTTGGCCACAATATGGATATAACATAACTGAGATACATGAGCCATCTTGCATAAAGACAGACATCACTGGAAAGGTTATGATTTACTGAATGATTAAAAAAGATACATGCATACAAATGGAATATACCTGAAGTTACCTGTGTATCTGTATTTCATATTTGATGTTTTGGATCACTCTCACTGCTAATACTTTGGGAACTACTATGGAAAAGATAGACCGCGCCAATGGCCCACAGCTAGAGGTGGGGAACCATTTTGGTGTAGGGGGCTGCTGACCCACAGAAAAATCAGTTGGGGGCCGCATTCAAGTGAGAATCAAAAATAAACAACTAAACCCTCACTGACATGGCTCCCAACTGAGAAGGAGAAAGACAGTCCCTGCATTCTCCATGCACAATAGGATTTTACTGAAATAATGTCTGGGATGAGAAATTTAGTTGTAATCAGTTTCTTTAGTGACTATAGATTAGAATGCTTCAGTGCATAACAGTGTTTCTACAGATATTTTACAAACTAAAAAAAGTTAGATAAATGAAATAAAGTGTCCGTTCAATGTTTATGAATAAAACAAATTCCCCTTACCATGTTTTCTTCCCTGTTTCCATTCTCCTTCATACTGAAAAAAAGAATTAGGATAAACATACAGCCCAAATCCTGAAAAACAAGATAAATACAGTATTAGGTAAAAGGATGAAATTTCTGGAACTAGCTCAATAATCAAAAGTCCTATTTGAATGCTGAAAAGACTGGTAACAGAAAAGCAACAATCATTTTCTGTAGATTTTTATACACATCTGCATAGAATTGTTTGTCTTGAACCATTAAATAACATTTATGCCAAATATAAGCATAGGGGTTTAGTATTTACATACACATCTTATAAACATGAGCATCTGGATCTACATCGGTTAACTTATTAAAACCCTTTAGAACAGGGGTGGGCAAAAGCCTTTCAATGGGCTGCATCCAGCCCACCTAGCTCTTTTATCTGGCCCATGAGGCAGTTCCTGGCCATGCTCACTAACACAATGCCTAAGAGCCAGGACGCACAAGCCCTTTCAACTGCTTCGATTTAAAGGGCTTGCGCCTTCCCAGTGGCTGTCAGGCAACAGGCATGGGGAAGGCATGAGCCTTTTAAATAGAAGTAATTGAAAGGGCCTGCACATCCCCAGCTCCCAGACAACACACTAGCAGCGAGGCCAGGAGCAGCAAGCCCTTTAAAATAGCAGGAGTTGAAAGGGCTCGCAGTTCCTGCCCCCCATTAATGTGGTGCCTGGGAGCTGCAGGTGAGGCATGAGCCCTTTTAACTTCTGCTATTTATAGGCCATGCCCCTTGCACCCAAGCCCCCACACCTTCCACACAAGATCCCACCCCTTCTGGGCGGCCCATGACCACTTCAAAAATTATTGTCCACCCCTGCTTTAGAGCATATCAACTCCACCTACATCTAAATATTACTTGGCATGTCATAACTTGTATAAATCAAGAATAAACACACATAAAATGAAACAATTGCTGTAAGGGGAAAACTTTTTTTGAATTGTGTTTAAAATAGCTTAAATGCCAGAAAAAGGGCACACTCCTTTATTTTAGCAAGAAACAAGTTATCCTACTTGTACTGTGTTTTAAACCTATACTTTCAAAGTGTTCTCCGGAAAAACAGCCCCAGTGGGTAGAATCTAAGTATGATTGATAGCAGGCAGCTAGTGTGCTCCGACCCCACTCCCAGGGAGCCCCCTGCCACTCCACGCTTCTATATCGTCTGTATCAGAGGCAGCAGTGCAGGGTGCCCGGCAGGAGCTGGTCCATGAGGGGAGTGCCCGGCAGGAGCTGGGCCATGAGGGGAGCCAGTTTAAAACCCAGCTCCCCTCGCAGACAGGCTGGCTCTCTCTCCACGTGCCCGCCCCTCATAAAGAAATCA